ACTGATTTGGGTCAAACTGTTTTATGCAATGTCTGTCCTAGATCCCTTCCTGGTTTAAGATAAGCCAGACTCCCCCAGCATCCCAGATGTTTGAAGTAGAGAGCCCTGCCCAGGGCTGCAAGAGAGCTGGGCTCGCCTTGCCCCTCTGCTCCCTGGCTGGAGCTCTGGCAGAGACAGCAGGCACAGCAGTGTCTGCCTGGCTTCCCTGTGCCCCCTGCCCCCCCCACTCGAGCAGGGATTCCCCACTCCCCTCTCCCACATCACAGACCACAAGCAGCATGTGATATGCTAGCTTATGCCGAGAGGCGTCTGTGTAAGGCAGACGGGACAAAGACAGACAGGACAGTGTCCACTTAGGGCTTTTTGGAGCTAAGCAACAAGTCAGCTGGTAATGTCCCTCCATTCCTTCCTTGGAAAAAGCTGTTTAAGAAGAACTTGAACTAATGAGAGACTTATTTTCCTGATGGGCTTATAAATGCTCCGTTATCAACTCTCTGCTGGACTGGTCAAGAGCAGGAAGGAGAAATCAGAGCATTATGCCAGGGTCTGGCCACACCCCACCTCCCCCCTCAGCTCAGCACTCTGGAAGGGAAGGGAGGGCTGTTCCAGCACCACCCTCCTCCCCCCACCCCACCAGCTTCTAGCCTGAGCCACTGCAGGCATGTGCCTGCATTTCTTCAGTCCAAAGGGGATATCTGTGTGGTTACAAACCGGTTCAGCCTAGCCAGGTTAGACTAACCTGCAAAAATTGAATCGATTCAGGCTCAGGCTTTTTGAATGTCTGTCCCTAGCCTAAGGAACAAACAGTGCTGCACTTATGTTGCACTCCTGATGCATTAAAGTATCAGATCAGAGCAACTCCAAAGTCACACTATTAAACCTCAGATCACCACTTACTCCTCACCTATTGCCTTGACTAACCTGAATTCACCATTTTTACTTACGTGAAGGAGCTGTCAAATGTCAATTCAAACAAAAAAGTAAGGAACTGTGCACATGTCACATCTAATTTTCAAACACTATGAATCAAATTGAGGCTTTTCCCTTCAGGGAAGTTTCAAATTGTTTATTGCCTTCCTGACAAATCAACAGAACTATTTTTTGTTTGTGACCTTAAGGGAAGCATCAGTAAGGAACATGAACAAATGCTTATTCTTTCCAGCACAGAAATCTTGGGTTAAACATCTGGATATATTTCCACATAGTAAAAATTCTTATACTATGGGGAGAAAAAGTTCAGTGAAATTACACTGGAGTGACAATATTGGTAAAGATGGTATTTATAAGCCTTATGGGCATCTTTACACATGCTCTGGGGGTGAGCGGGAGCAGCACTTTAATCAGAGTGGCTCTGAGAGCCACTCTAATTAAAGCACCTGCAGCATCTCATGTAGTCAACATCCTGTGCTTCAAAATGGCGGTGGGGGCGCCTTAACTAAAGCTCATTGACAAGCTTTAGTTAAAAATAGCAGTGAGGGTGCTTTTAAGTGTGGGGACAGTGAATACACGAGATGCAGAGACTGCTGGAGCATGCCAATATGTACGCTCTAGCAGACTTGATTAATCAAGACGACTTGGATTACAGCACCTTGGAGCAGATTCAAATTAATTACAGTGCATCAGAGTAGTGTCCCCACACATCTACAGGCACCTTATGAGACCATTTCTCCTTTATATTATAAAATAATGGGAGGGTATAAATTACATCTGCCCTTTTCCTTGCATCTTTGAACAGCATAATAAGCATCCCAGAAAATGGGGAAACAATGAATTATTTGCCCAGAAACATAGAAGGCGTTTTCCTAAACCAAAACAGAAGGGGACAGCAAAGATCATTGTGGGTAAATGGACCTATTAGGAAAAAGTTAAAAAGCCAGGAAGCTTGCACTGTATGGGATGTTCCTGCATCAGCTGGGGATTGGACTGAACAGCTTGACAGAGGAACAGCTCTCTGTCGGGTCTCCAATATGGAATGGTCCCAGTCACTGATGAAAATGCAGTACATTAGGTAGTGGACCTATGGAAGAACACAATGGCACCTAGTTAAAAAGAAGAAATTCTCATTCACTTCTCAAAACTGATCTTTACTGCTGCTGTAACTGGAACCTAGACAGGGGATGAGAAACCCTGTCCCGACTCCTCCCTGCTGGGATGAAAGCAACAGGTTTCTGGCAGTGGTGGGACTTGCTGGCTGACATGGACAGGTACACTTCTAACAAATGGTTCATAGAGCTCGTCACAGCTACTCAGCAGCCTCCCATCAATATTAACATAAATCCACTGCTACCCATAGGACAGTCTTAATATGCTGCCTCAGTCCTGGAAGAGCTTACAATGATCAACATGCATGAAACCATCAAATTTCACAGTGGTCCAAGTGAACTACTACTATGTGCTCATGGACCCAAGTCAAATGCCTATCTTTTACAATGTTTCAGGGATAAAGCTTGTAGTTGTGTTGGTCTAAAAAGCAGAGATAGGAAGTTGCTCTGTAAATAGGGAGATTAGGCAGGGACAAAGCTCCAGCAGGTTTCTTCTTCCCTGAAGGTGTCAGATATCTGGCAGGGAGTTGAATTTTGCTTATTTCCTGTTTAGCAATGAAGTTTACAAGTGAAGGCATGAGCTTTGTCCCTGCCTAATCTGCATATTCATAGAGCAACTTTTTCCCCAAATGGACTTTGAAGCCCAGGGAAACCTCACCATCCTCTACTTCCCCTGTGCAAGATGACGTTTCTTTTCTACCTGGGAGAACTTTTATGATCTTTGAATCCTCCTCAGCCTGATGCAGGGTGTTTGGACCCGAAAGCTTGCAAAGAAAGTATATTTTTTTGGCTACTATTTAGTTGGTCTAATAAAAAAATATTGCCTCTAAACCAAGAGTTTTGTCTGCCTCTATCTTTTACACTGAAAGTTTCATGAAAGGGAGATGTTAAAGATGACCTAGTTTCCAAATGACTTCATGCAGGCCATTCATGATGCATTGTAAATAAAAACAGCTTTCAACTATACAATTATTTCAAAATGCAATCGGTATTTAAGTCTGAATAGTAAGTTTATAGCTAGTATTGACCAACTTGATAATGCAATATGTATAATGCAATAAGTTTATATAGATCTCTCTCTCCAATTGTGCTTTTCATTATGTGTGTGTGGTGACCCAAAGCCTGCTCTCCCCATCTCTTTCAGGTGCCCACCTAGAATTTTAAAATTGTATTTTAACTCAATTCATTACACAAAACAGACCTTACACTGCTCAGCAAATGCTTGTTCAGTAGCTAAGTGTCTCCCTCTCCCCACCACCCACATTTTCCCCTAACCATTTCTTCTACAACAGTGTGTCAACTTGACTTTCCAGTACAGTAGCTGGTACAAGTACTATACAAGAGTCAACAACCATCATGGTCTAGTCCAGTGGTGTTCAACCTTTTGGCCCGGTGTGCCAGATAAGGGGTGTTGAGCCCATCTGTGGGCCAGATGAGACCCCACATGGCAAGATCAGGATCCAGGCACCCTGCACTGCCTCCACCTGGTCTCGCAGCCTGGGGGCCCCCACAGCAGGCTGCATGCCTGACCTAGAGTACAGAACCATATCCCAGGGGCTCCCTGCAAACATGTGGGGAGCCCTTCAGATCAGGTGATAGTGCAGTGAATCTGGCCCACAGGCTGGAGGGTTAAGCACCCTTGGTCTAATCTGGAAATAAAAATAGTCTGAGAACAAAATGTTTTGGACAGGTAGAAACCTAGTAAGTATTTGTTCTTTGTTAGCATATATAAGCCCATTACAGGATTATTGCTGATGTATTATACCAACTATTTTCGGAATTGAGAAATAAAAACTAGTAGGTTAAGTTAGACTGCAAAATCCATCTCCAAATTCTCTAAGGAATGCCTGCAATCCCTTACAGAACAAAATCCTGAGAAGCCCAATCGCTGAACCAATCCCCAACCCTATTTCTGAAAACATCCAGAGCTCTGTTGCTTTGAAAAAAATATGAATTAGGCCAGAATGCACCTTTCAGCCATAGGTCTGCGCAGAGGCACGTGCCACTGAGATGGAGAATCTAAGCTGGAGAAGTCCTTCCATTAGAAACACTGGTTTCCACTTGTGCACCGTGGAGAAAGACATTTTGCTGCTGCTGTTGCTAACTTCAAAAGCAATTTTCATGTCCAACTCTCACTGAAATCAATGGGAATCTTTCCAGTAACTTCAAAAGGAGTTGGATTGGCCCCTAATACCGTAAAATTGCTATTTGCTCTTACAAGGACAGCTCAAAGTCATTTAAAAGCTTGCAGATTTCAATAAGCCCGAGAATATAAAGCACAGTTTCAACGAGGAGAAACAGACTGAAGCTTAAGACATTAGTTGAACACAAAAGGACTCAAGGCAACTCTTTTCAATTTCCAATTTGATGATTGAAATTGCCTCCGATTCAACACTCAAATCAAGCAACAGAAAGGGAAAAAGAATTAAGAACCTAATTTCCACCCTTTTCCAGTATAGCTATTTACACATAATTTGCTGTTAATCATAACAGGTGCATGCACGTTTCAAAAAAATTATTAGAAAAACAGTGGGGGGGAAGGGGCAGACTTGGATCACAGGTTTACGTAAACGACATGAAAGGACTTCAAGCTCTAGACTTTACTTTCAATATGGAATAAATTCAGTTTGAACATGAGTCTGATGATGTACCATTTCTTCAGAGCAACTTTTCTCACAACCGTGGCCTGAGCTTACCAGTGCTTGTTAATCTCTTTCTAAAAGAAATCTGCAGTTTCTCTCCCACATTATAGATCGGTTTCCTTCTTTTCCAATGTTCCAGTGAAATGCAAAGAAAAGAAGATCTTAGATTGGTTGTTGGCTTTTGAGATCACTGAGAACAGGCATTATTTTCATTAGGAATTAAAGTCTAGGCCACTAGCAGAGACCAGACAACCAGAGGCTACAGCAAGGACTACAATAAACCAGCCACCAGGGGTACAGCACGGCACAGACTTACCCAGAGCCTCAGCTGTCGGGAAGGTGCGCATGATGAGAAATTGCAGGATACAAAATTGACACAAAAAGGAAAATAGAAGTCAAACTGGTGTTCCAGCATTCCTAGTGTTAACACATCAATATCAGCACCAAGAGTCAGTGCAGAGCAGGCTACGTTGATTATTTCCGCGCAGTTTATCAAGGCAAATTTCTAGTACTGATTTATAGCAATTCAGCAACAAAACACGCTCCCAGTTACATGCCTAGTAGTTTTATTTTTAAAGGATTTAAAGTTCATTTTGCAATTTATAAAAGGTGAACTCTGTTCAACTCGCTCTTCCTAGGAAGAATGTGGGAGCTTGTCCCTGTGGAAGGTACACAATATATATATAGTGAAATGTCAAACTCATTTACTTGGCACACTGGAACAAGGTAGATGTCTTTCCATCTTCCACTCTCCCTGACCCTCCATTTAAAACAGTAGACACACAGGGAACAGTAGCTCAGGGCTTTGTAAATTGTGCTCATGCACTAAAGGCACTGTAGAAGGCTCTCTTGCAGCTTTATTAAACTAGTCCCCCAATCAATTGAGACATACAACAAGGTCCTTACTATGAGAACTTTTGCCCTAAGTTTTCTACTATCCTTAAAAATCCTTCAGAAGAGCGTGTCATTTTCTAATATGCAACATGCACCTTTTTCTTAAAGACCAGCTGTTGGAAATTGGAGTGTGGATTATATGCAGAAATACAGTAAAAGCAGGTTCTGCTGCTTACTGGGTGAAATAAAGTCAAACGTGCAGCAATCCATAGGCAGAACAGTGACCAGTGCCTGCTCCTTAGCTGCTACTCAGCTCCTTGCTAGAAGGAAAAAGATATTTTCCATCATCCTTCTGCCTTTTAAAAACCAAGGTGTGTATAATATTGTGAGGTGTGTTACATGCAAGAAAATACAGTAAATCCCTCTGCAAACTAGAACTGATAAATCCAATCAAGGTTTCTTGCCAATGATTTGCCAGATACCTTCCTCTTATTTTGTATACAGTGGAACGTACATGGCAGGGTCGTGAGTAATGCAACATTCAGAGACCATGGCTTTGTCTGTATCAAGGTTTTTCCTTAAAGTGTTCCAACGTCCAAGAGTTATTACTCCTACTTTAGCATCACATGCTCCAATCCCTGGTAACCGTGAGCCCCGTCTGCAATCCCATGCTCAGGCTGGAGTTGCAGTTATCACTCCAAGTGTGGTTAGTTTAACAGAAAACATCCTAACATGCACATTCTAGAGTTTAAAAGGAGCTATTCATGACGGTAACACAAAACTGACTGAAGGGTACTTAAATGGTCATCTGTTCACTTAGGTATCTATCCCCAACTCCTATCAAACTGGAGCATACAAGGATCTAATTTATTCATCTCTCTTCAGTACAATGTATACACAGCAATAGTCATACTCTACACTTTTCACAGCTGTGCTAATTATTCAAAATGAAAACATCATCCAAAAATCAGCTAACAAAAATATGCTTAACTTTGTACCTTACTCAAGCAAAAATGAGAAGGGGGTGGGGGGGGAGCACTGGAAGCTACTACACTGATTTTATTAATTTACTGAAAAACTGCTGTGTTACTACAAAAGGAGGTTCAGAGACTGAATCTAAGGCAGAGGTAGGCAAAATATGGCCCCATAGGCTAGATCTGGCCCATGGAGGGCCCCTTGGATCTGCTCGGCCAGGACATGGCACATGCAGCATGGCTGGGGTGGTGCAGTGGCCAGACTATTTTCCAGTAGCCCTGGCAGTAGCAGCTTCTTCCAGCAGCTGCTGCTGCTGGATCCAGCCCCACTGCCCAGGCATCCCGGCCTAAACACCTTGCATCCACCACCAGGGGCAGGACGCTTGGCTGGCATGGGGCTGATGGTGGGCGGGGAGTAGTGTCCAGGAGTGAGATGGGCAGGCGTGGCCAGGGAGACCCTGGGATCTTGGGGTGGTGAAAGCATGGGGCCAAGCCACGAGCTGCTGCCTCCACACCAGTTCTGCAGCAGGAGCATGCAGGGAGCAGATCACAACTCTGCCCTGGCCCCAGCCCCGTGCTGATCCTGCCCCACAATCCTAGCCCCAGATGCAGCTTCCCACCTGCCCATGCAGCTCCCAGGCAGTCTAATTGGGGACCCTGGGATCATGGGGGTGTGACAGCATGGGGGGTCCAGGTCAAAGTCCTAGTTCTGCAGGCAGGGATGTGCAGGGGCACATTGTGGCTCTGCCCTACACCGTCATTGCCCCACGATCCCGAGGTCTCCATGGAGACCAGCTGGGAGCTGCACAGGCAGGGCACACAGCTGAGCAAGGAGCTGCATCCAGGGCTGGGATCTTGGGGCAGTGACAACGCGAGGCTGAGACTGGGAATGAGCTACAATCTGCTCCCTAACTGTTCTGCCTGTGGGACCCGCGGGCAGTGGACTGGATTGTGGCTCTGCCCTGGGCCCCAGTCCTGTGCTGTTAACACTGCCCCCCCCGCCCCCACCCTCGCCTACCCATCTCACTCCCGAACATTGCTCCTCACCCACCTGTGCAGCTCTCCAGCTAACAGGCTGCAACACCTGTATAGCACGCTGCTTGCCACATTTTTCATGGTACCGGAAATTCTTAGTGCCAATTGAACACCTGTCCATACCCTGAATGAAGCAAAACTGAATTGCCTTGGCTTAGCTTTCATTTACTGCAGGGTAATGGGACCCGTTGCTGTGGAGCAACTGAGGCTTGATTAAGCCCTGCCCCTGTTACGTGTGGGCACACTGGGAATTCGGGACTCAATGAAGCTCACAGCCCCTCGTGTAAGGTCTACTCATTTAGATCCAAAAAAAATCCCACTTTCCATAAATATATTTTTAAACCCTTGAGAGTTTTGTTTACACGGTGTAGGGATGCGGTGAGTGGCCTTCTTCCCCGCTCTCTCCCCCCACCAACAACACACCTACACAACATGCACACCCAAGTAGGAGAGAGCAAGTCTCTGATGAGGCCCTTTGGACTTCAACACTTTGCCATGCAGTCTCTCCAAGCCCTGCATGAAAACAGTGCTGCACAAAGAAACTGGAAGAGAAGGCTTGGGGACTCGAGTTCCAACCCACAACGAGATCTGTTCAGTGTAGCAGGAAACATGGAAGTTAATTTTTTTGTTTTCCAGGTTACAGTCAAAGTAGCTAACAATTTAATATTTTAAAAAAAGCAAGATACGCTTACTAGTTACAAAGAGTCTCTTACAATGGTAAACCCTTTACTGTCCCCAAAATGGTTATAACCAAGGGAGACAGGACAATTATATATACATAAGCACAGATCCTCAGCTGGTACAAACTAATCACAACTCTACTGAAGTCAGACCATCTTTGACCATTTCTAACAGCAGATGATTTTTCCCCGAGGCCTCAATTCTAGGACAGATAAGCAGAAGGGTAACCAGAGGTGTTTTGCATATACCAAGGCTGACTGGCCACAAGTTCAAAAGAAAACGGAGAACAATTTGAAAGCTGTGACATGTAATTTGGTCCTCCGTAATAAATGAAATATATTATATTTATATCAATAAAAAGTCTGTGAGTATCTGTTTATGGCCTTACTTCAGTGGCTTTCAATTTCTTTCATTTGTGAACCCCTGAAAAATTTCAAATGGAGATGTGGACCCCTATGAACTGTAAGTGTGAGTATTTGCTTACTTTTGATTGATCTTCCGTGAACCCTTCAGACAGTCCGTGGACCCCAGGGGTCTGTGGACCACAGGTTGAAAACTACATCCTTAAGCTTTCATAAAGTAACCACAAAAAAAGACTGTGGTGAACCTACTCCAAATCCATCAAGAAATTTTCAATCCCTTCATTTCCATAAAAGACCTGTTGTTTTGCCAACTATCATCTGGCTAACTTGGAAGAAAAAGGAATCCAAAAATCACTGATTTGACTTATTTAGAGTTCTAGCACTTATATTTTCCCCTTCATTTTATCCCTATTAAAAAAAAAAAAAACCGCACCTCACGCACACCGCAAAACATTTTGATCGCAATTAAAAAAAAGCAAAAACACCTGAAGTATACTTCCTAATTACAGACCTAGAGAGTCAGAAATTGAGTTTCAGTGCTGTCACAAGGAATCAGATAAAAGTATAGCCTAAGCAATTCATAAGAGGAGATGAGCCCAAATGCATTCAGAGCTCTCTGGATTCTAACAGATGGAGGTGAAGTAGGCATGTCTGTGGGATGAACAGCAGCTTATCCTAGAAATCCCTACATCTAAAGCTGCCCTTATACTTTTATCTAAGACCAGATGGCCACTTTCCAGTTCATGTGGCAGAAATGTTGCATATATTTTGATAGCAAACCATATCTTAAAGTGTAATCAAATCCAGATCTCAACATTACCTCGTGCTCCCATCACTAAAGCATTAAGGTCATTAAAATACATTCTAGGTCAGGGGTGGGCAAAATGCAGATGGGAAGCCAAACGCAGCCCGCCAGGCCATTCTATCCAGCCCGCGGGGCCCCTAAATATTAATTTTCTAAATTTTTTATTTGCCCTGGGCTGCCTGCCATGTGGCCCTTGACAGCTTGCCAAAACTCAGTAAACGGCCCTCTGCCCAAAATAATTGCCCGCCCCTGTTCTAGGTGGAGCTGGTAGAAGATAATCTTGTTATTTGTTGCTAGAGCGCAAGCATGCTAGGAACATCACAGAAAACAGAAGAAAGGAAGAGATATTCTTGCTTGAATCCGGGACATTAAGGGTGCTTACACAAGTTACATTTTTCATATAAATCGGGCCCCTGAAAGCGTTCTACAACGGTGACGTAACACATGTGCACAGCTATAGAGCATTGGTTAAATGGCCAATCATGTGAAAAATTAACCCTGGTCAAATGAGGTCTTAGATGAAGGTGCTCTAAAGCAGAACACCTTAGAGAACTTGATTTCCTCCAGAGCTAATTTTTCACATTGGGCTGCCGAACTGCTCTTCTCCCCAGCCCCTCCCCAACACTGTCAAGTAGGGGAGGCAGCAGCATAGAGCTACCAGCTGGGCTTAGCCTGGCGAGAGCTGGAGTGGGGTGGGGTCGAATGGAGCCCCATCACTCCTCGGGGAACACCCCAGCTACCCCGGGTGGGATGGGGGG